ATCTCCTTTCCTCTCTCCCTAAGATCCGTGAACACATCTTCTGGTCAGGACCAACCAAAACCAAAAAAACTTTGCTAACATCACATTAGCCCGAAAATCTCAAGATGGAAACTAACATAATCTTTAATACAAACTGTTTTCCTTTTTAAAAGAAAGGGATTAGCCCTGGCTGGTGTGGCTCAGTAGATTGAGTGCAGGCCTGTGAACCAGAGGGTTGTGGGTTTGGTTCACAGTCAGGACACATGCCTGGGTTGCAGGCCAGGTCCCCAGTAGGGGGCTTGTGAGAGGCAACCACACATTGATGTTTCTCTCCCTCTTTCTCCTTCCCTTCCCCTCTCTCTAAAAATAAATAAATAAAATCTTTAAAAAAGGAGAGGGGTTAGAAAAATCCTACTACCCAGGTTGTGAACAATTTAGTATATTAATCCTTTAAGAACCTTTTCTTTGTGCAGGAGCACATGCACATTTAGAAACTTTTAAAGAGGATTTATTATACATGGTATTTTATAACTTGCTTTTTTCATTTAATAATATATAATAAACATCTTCCCATATGAATTTTAATGTGGATTAGAAAAATTGTCAGTGGATGACAAGTACCTAGCTGTATGAATGTATAACCTCACCAAATCCATACTGCTTAATATTAATTTTAGATGTATATTGTTTAAAAGAGACAATACTCACATGATCAATTCGAGAGGTGCAAAAGTTGCATCCATTCCTCCCCTGTACCTTAAACCTCTGGTTCCCTTCCTAGAAGCAATCACTCTTACCAGTTTTCTGTGTATTCCTCCACAGATGCTCTATGAATATAAAAGCATGTATGAGCATTCTAAAAAACAAATGTTAACATAGTTTATATGCAGGTATGTACCTTCATTGCTGGCCATTTAGAAAGCTAGCAATATTTTACTATTATACTTTTGTTACTACTGTATAAATACTACATAATTTTTACTATTAAAATGTTGGAATGAATGTCTTGTCTAAATCTGTTTATGTCATTATTTGCTCTTAACACTCATATATATAAAATAATTTCAAACAAGAGTGTATCTTAGCATGACCACTTTTTAATCTATCAAGAAAAAGTGGTGAATAATAACAACCAACAAACATATTAAAAATATTAAATCTCTGCCTCACAGGAAAGTTGCTTGGAGAGACCGCAGGGTCCCAGAACGTACACAAACCAACCCACCCAGGAATCAGCATCAGGAGAGCCCAATTTGCTTGTGGGTAGCAGGGGAAGTGACGGAAAGCCAGACCAGAGCCAAGCAAGCAGCACTGTTCCCTCTCGGATCAATGCTTCTGCACATACAGTGCCACAAAGCAGCCATGTGGGTTGCCCCACCCTGGCGAATACCTAGGGCTCCACCCCTAACAGGCATGCAGACAAAAAAACAAAACACAGATCAAAGCTCCAAAAATAGAACTAGGCAATGAAGAGATAGCCAACCTATCAGATGCAGATTTCAGAACACTGCTAATCAGGTAATGGCTGAGTGTGGTCAGAAAAAGAGGAAGAAATAAAGGCTGTGCAAAGTGAAATAAAGAAAAATATACAAGGAACCAACAGTGAAGGGAAGGAAATCAGGACCCAAACCAACAATTTGGAGAAGGAAGAAATAAACATTCAACCAGAACAGAATGAAGAAACAAGAATTCAAAAAAATGAGGAGAGACTTAGGGACCTCTGGGACAACTTTAAACATTCCAACATCCAAATCATAGTGGTGCCAGAAGGAGAAGAGGAAGAGCAAGAAATAGAAAAGTTATTTAAAAAATAACGGAAAGCCCTGGCTGGTGTAGCTCAGTGGATTAGGCATGGGCCCGTGAACCAAACAACCGCGGTTTGATTCCCAGTCAGGGCACGTGCCTGGGTTGCAGGCCAGTTCCCAGCAGGGGAACCTGCTGGAACCTGTAGGGGATGCACAACAGGCAACCACCCATTGATATTTCTCTCCCTCTCTCTCCTTCTCTTCCCCGCTCTCAAAAAATGAATAAATAAAATAAAAATAAAAAATAATGGAGAACTTTCCCAATCTTTCAAAAGAAATAGACTTCCAGGAAGTTCAGGAAGCTCAGAGTCCCAAAGAAGTTGGATCCAAGGAAGCACACACCAAGGCACATCATAATCACATCACCCAAGATTAAAGATAAGGAGAGCATCTTAAAAGCAGCAAGACAAAAGGAAACAGGTACCTACAAAGGAGTTCCCATCAGACTGTCAGGTGATTTCTCAAAAGAAACCTTACAGGCAAGAAGGGGCTGGAAAGAGGTATTCCAAGTCATGAAAGGCAAGGACCTACATCCAAGATTACTCTATCCAGCAAAGCTATTATTTATAATGGAAGGACAGATAAAGTGCTTCCCAGATAACGTCAAGTCAAAGGAGTTCATCATCACCAAGCCCATATCATATGAAACGTTAAAGGAACTTATCTAAGAAGATGATCAAAACTATGAACAGTAAAAGGACAACAAACTCACAACTATCAACAACTGTACCTAAAAACGAAAGAAAACAAAATCAAATTGAGCAAACAACTAGAACAGGAAGAGAATCACAGACATGGAGATCACATGGAGGGTTATCAGCAGAGAGAGGGCAGAAGGAAAACAGGGGAAAAGGTACAGGGAATAAATATAATTGGTAGGTACAAAATAGACAGGGGGAGGTTAAGAATGGTATATGAAATGGAGAAGCCAAAGAACTTATATATATGACCCACGGACATGAACTGAGGGGGGCAGGGGAAGTTCCAGACGGAAGTGGGAGGTACAGGGTTGAGAAGAATAAAGGGGAGAAAAAATGGGATAACAGTAATAGTATAATCAATAAAATATATTTTTTAAAAAGCTGGTTACAAAATAATATTGTGCAGTATAATCCTGATTTAAAAAATATATAAAGTTTAGGCTAAATTATGCATTAAAATTCTACTGTGATTATCTCTTCATAGTGGGATTACTGATTTTTATTGTTTTTCTTAATTTTCTAAATTTTATCCACCAAATATACTAGATTCTAATCAAAAGAAAAAGCAGTTTGGCCCCCACTGGTGTGGTTCACTGGGTTAAGTGTCAGCCTCTGAACTAAGGTTGCCAGTTTGATTCCCATCAGGGTACAAGCCTTGGTTGCAGGCCAGGTCCCCAGTTGGGAGCAGGCAAGAGGCAACTGATTGATGTTTCCCTCCCTTTTCCTCCCTCCTTTCTTCTCTCTTAAAAAAAAAAAAAGAATAAAATCTTTAAAAAAAATTAAAAAAAGAAGAAAAGCAAAGCAAAAGCAGCTGGGCTCTTGATTAGTCAGGCCCCTTGCACAATCCTGTCCAGAAGACTGGGGGCGTTATTTTGGCTATTTTCCATGTAGCAATGTGGAAACTTCATCTGTGAAAACATTGTCCCAGTAAATTATCAATATCAGGGCCTGGTATTGCAAAGTTTTGGCTTTTCATTCACATAAAATAATCTTATGACTTACAAAAAGGAGAGGAAAAGATAGGTTTTTGGTCATTAATTTTTATCTATTCTGAGAATTTTTACCAGTTTGTTACTTTGTAACATTGCTGTTAGATGACTGCCTCTGAGCAACCGTGATGAAAAAGGAGAAATTTTAAATTGATGTCAACATTTTCAATCAGCAAGTTAAAAAAAAAAAAAGGATACAGTCAACTCTTGATAAAAGTAGTAATCACGGGGGGCTAGCCATGAACAAATGTCTTTTGGTCCATCTCTTGGGTGGCAGTATATCACCAGCAGAGAGCTAAGAAACACAGGTGATACCTGATTTAGACTTACTGTTAACTTGAGTTGAAAATAAAAGGACTTGGTTGAAAAATGTTTCTGAGTGACGTCTACTGCTGGAATTCTGACCTGTTCACTCACTGCCTTGTAAAAATAATTCATTTGGAGCCTAGTAAGAAGAAAAGAGTTTCCCCTGATCTTTGGCCAAAATTTTTCCTAAAATAATTTTTACAAAAGGGCAGCTCAAATCAAGTACACTGCAAAGTAAAGCCATTATATTTTACAGACGCTCACAAGGAAAACCTATTCACTATAATTATGTTCTGAATAGGATAACAGAAATCACTCTTCTTTTTCTTTTCAAGAGACAGGGAAAGGAACATCGATTGGTCGTCTCTTGCACATGTCTCCAACTGGGGATCCAACCTGCAACCCAGGCATGTGCCCTGATGGGGAGTCAAACCTGCGACCTTTAGGTTTATAGGATGACACTCCAACCAACTAAAGCCACGCCAGCCAGGGCAACTCTTTCATTTTAAAAATAAGGAAACTAAAGCAGAAGGAAGTTGTTACAATTCTTATTTATTGATTTTTAGAGAGGAAGAGAGAGAAACATCAATTTGCCCTTCCACTTATTCATGCATTCACTGGTTGATTCTTACATGTGCCCTGACTGGAGATGGAATCCACAACCTTGGTGTATCTAGATGATACTCTAACCTACTGAGCCCATAAGGAAGTGAAATATTTGACTAAGACCACACAACTGATTAGTGGCACAGAGCTGGAACTTACTCTACTTGATATTTGTCCAGATAACTTATCCTGACAGAATGATTAGGATGCAGTACTAAAAACCACATGGTTCCATTAAGTGTCATGATGAGGTCCTTAAAAAAAAAAGATTTTATTTCCTTATTTTTAGAGACAGGGGAAGGGAAGGAGAAAGAGTGGGAGAGGAACATCAATGTGTGGTTGCCCCTCACACACCCCACATTGGGGACCTGGCCCGCAACCCAGGCCATGTGCCCTGACTGGGAATTGAATTGGCAACTCTTTGGTTCACAGACTGCACTCAATCCACTGAGTTATAACAGTCAGGGCATGATAAGGTCCTTTTTAATGGATGATGTAGTGAATGGGAAGTAGTGATACTAGATATTTCTTAGAATTAAGTATTCTCTTCCATGATCATGTTGGGATCTCCAGCAAGTACTAAAGTAAGTTCTTGATAAAAGCCAACATCTTACCTTTTTTCCTCAGTAAAAGTATTTAATTCTTATCTGAAAGCTACTCTGCTGTCCACATGCTAACATTTAATAGTTTTGTATTCTGTCTGGGTCTGAATTATAGATATGATACAAAAGTCCTGAGTAGATGAGTTGATTAGAGTGCCATCCCAATATGCCAAGGTTGTGGGTTCAATCCCAGGTCAGAGCACATACAAGAATCAACCAATGAGTGCACAGATAGGTGGAACATATTGATGTCTCTCTCTCACACGTGCTAAAAAAAAAATCAATAAATTAATTTTTAAAAAGACACAGTAAATTTTGCCACAATAAGTGATTACAAGCCAAATTAAAACAATACAAAATATTTAATGAGTGCCCATGTGTACTAAACACTTACCTACAAATTTTCATTTCCCTCCATCCCATCTTTTAACTACATGTAAATACTGTCTCTAATCTACTAAAACATGCTGAATTGGAACTAAAAATTTCTAATCCTACTTCTTTTAACACAAGGGCAAAATTTAAGCATTAACTTGTAATTCCACAGCCCACCCTCTTTTTTCCACATCACCTCTGATAATAACTAAAATATGCAGTACACTTTACAATTTAGAATTCTTTCATAGGATTTAACCCATATAACATATTATAACACCCATTTGAAATATGGGGAAACTGTGGTTTTCTAGCTGGTTGTTACTCACCAAAAATACCATGACCAGTAATAGCAGTCAAAAATTAAACCTAGTCATTATGACCAATATAGGTCTAAGGAAATTACTGCAAGGATTACTGGCAGAAGGGGTAGTCCGGTGAGGTAACACAAAATGTTAGGCTCCTTGCCCTTTCATTTCAAGAGTTGAAAAATTATCTGGAGCCATACGCAGAAAGGTAAATTGCATACCAACATATGCTGATAGACCTGTATTTTCAGGCCAACAAAATTATTACAAGAATAAGTATAAAAGCTCAAACAATATTTAATATCTAGAGATATACTAGAGTGCACAGTGGCACCGGCTTTGCCTTGTTTCAGGAAATCAGTCTCAGCTCACTCAGTTGTTCTCTGTCTGACCATCTGAGTTTAAGCTATTTCCTCCCAGTGTACACAGGAGAGGGGAGGAGGGGAAGCAGAGTTTGCCACTCTAAAATATACCTTTTTGAAATATTAATTATTTTAAGCTGCTTATTTTTAAGAAGCAAAAGGCTTAGAAAGAACCTTTGAACCTCTCTCTTAGTAGCCTAAAGGAATGCAGATAGAAAACCTGCTTAAAGGAACCATCACCTTAGCATAAGATAATACAAGTGTGGCAGAGAGGATCCTGCAAAGTCCGGAGGGAGACCCTCCCCCATTGTTTCTGGCTGGCATGACAAGAATTTATTTACTTATTGCATGTTTGCTTTTTCTTATTTACCTCTAAATTGCCTACTTTTCCTTTGAAGCCCCAGATCCCTGTCTCCCTCCCAACTGCCCAATTTGTCCTTGGGTCTCATATTCTTACATAGCCTCCATGTGTACATACCCAGTAAATCTGGTTATTTTCTCTTTTTAATCTGTCTCATTTCAATTTGATTTTAAACCAGCCATAAGTACTCAGAGGGGTAGAGGAAAATTATTTTTCCTTGCCCACACAGGTAAACTGCACTTTTACCATGACCTAGATCCCTGAAAGCATTTTTATAAAAGCACATCATGCTGTGAATCACATGTACCCTTAACAAAGATTGGGTACCAATCATACCAAAAGCCCCAAATCAAATCCCCAAATGTATCAAATAGCAGAACTACATCTATACCAGTGGTGTCCAGCCTGCGGCCTGTAGGTATTCATGCGGCCCAACACAAAATCGTAAATTTACTCAAAACCCTTTTTTTTGCTCATCAGTTTTCATTGGTGTTTGTGTAATTAATGTGTGGCTCAAGACAATTCTTCTTCCAGTGTGGCCCAGAGATGCCAAAAGTTTGGACACCCCTGACTATGCCATAATTAAAAATAAAAGTCTGCCCTGGCTGGTGTGGCTCAGTGGATTGAGGGCCAGCCTGTGAACCAAAGGGTCATTGGTTTGATTCCCAGTCAGGGCACATGCCTGTGTTGCGGGCCAGATCCTCAGTTAGGGGCAACCATACATCGATGTTTCCCTCCCTTTCTTCCTCCCTTCCTCTCTGTCTAAATATAAATAAATAAAATCTTAAATAAAAAATAATAAAAGTCCTTGCCAAGGACTCCCCAATGTACTCAAAAAATACCAAACTGGTTAATTCTGATCAAAGCAATACCATCAAGAAATATGTTTAAGAGATCTTCATCTTTTGAAAGGCAGTACGCAATGGAGAAAAGCAGGAGCACTGGAATCAGAAAAATCTGGATTTGAATCCTACCTCTGCAACTCAATAGCTATTTGGACCTTGGGCAAGTTGTTGAACCCTTCTGAACTTCCAGATTTTCTCTCCTCTGTGCTATAATCCCAGAATATCAAATTCAGAAGCCCAGCCCTGGCTGGTGTAGCTCAGTGGATTGAGCATGGGCTGTGAACCAAATGGTCACCAGTTCAATTCCCAGTCAGGGCACATGCCTGGGTTGCAGGTCAGGTTCCCAGTGGGGGCCATGTGACAGGCAACCACACATTGATGTTTCTGTCTCTCTTTCTCCCTCCCTCCCCCTCTGTTTAAAAATAAAAAAATAAAATCTAAAAAAAAAATCAGAAGCCCAGTTTCTCCCTCTTCAATTTATTACATACCTACTCTACAAAATCAACCTAAAACATGTCAGCTTTTTAACACAATAATAATACATGTATCACACACACCTCCAACAAGTTAAACCTAATTATTTAGCATGTGAAATTTTAAAATACATGAAAGTATAAACCATAAATTATTAAAAAATGGATCTCCACATTGTTCTTAATTTCTTGTCCCTTTATCTGAGATATTTATTCCAAACAGATTTGGGATTGTTATATGGGATTTTTTCCTTGATAAAATCTGAGATAATCCATTTTTTAAAAAACTACTATAATGGGGTTTGAATCTCTGAATCAACCAGCTCAAACCTGTTACTCTACAGATGAAGGAAATGTGGCATAGAATAATAGGCTGAATAAATAAAAACTATATTTTGAAAGACTTCATGACAAAGGAAATATTCAATACAGAATATTGAAAGGATTAAAACTATATAGAATATAATCCTAAGTGAAAAAGATAAGTAAATATAAAAGAATATGGGTTATACTTAATTATCTGTATGTTATTACCCTGAATCTCATAATTTTTTAAAATAATAAACACATTTCTTTCATAGTATATAATATTCTAAATACTCTCTTCAGGTTTTGAATTAAATGGAACAGTCACGAAAAACAGTTATGGGGGGAAAAAAAAGAAATATGGAGGCACTGAGATTTGGTGACTTGCTCACAATCACACAGCTAATTGGAAACGAAGCCAAGACAAGAAACCCAGTCATCCACACCAGGGTTCTTCCCACTGTACCACATGGCCTCTAGGATACAAAACTAACATTTGTTCAATATCACCTTATTTTACCAGTGTTTGTTTCCTGAAAACTACTCACACAATGAACTTAAGCAGTGCTACAAAGTACACTTTATAATACTGTTACTAGATTAGAGTACAGAGATTAAGTCTGAGAATTAACAGCTAACAGTAATCTTCCAGTCGCAAAACAAGGGCACTACGTTGCCATATTCACCTTTGTAACCCTACCACATGGTACAATGACTGGCACAGAGTAGGTGTTCAATAAATGGTTTTGTTTTTGCATACACCATAGCTTTTTTTCCTGTTAGCACTAGCTATCAGACTTAAATGAGACAAAACAAACAAACAAACAAAAAACCCTACCCCAAAACAATGAAATACCTAAGTCCACACTTTGGGTCTTTAAGCATTTATAATATAAACAAAGAATTCACTAAACAAATTATGTTTACAACAAACGTAAGGGGAATGCTTCTAGTACTAAAATATTTCAAGCACTATACAAATTAATAGTGCATTAATTTCAAGAATTAACTACTGAAATGAGCATGAATAACCTTTAGTCACCATTACTTTGTCTACACAGTGAGTCATCGAATGTACAAAAAAGCAGTAAAATTACAGGTATAGTACAAGTGGCACAGGACTGGGACCCAGATCCTGGCCCAGGCTCTGCTAATAATCAGATATGTAACCTGGGGCAATTCACTTTTTCTTTGAGGTTTGATTAACCTATTCATAAAAACAAAAGAGCTGAACTATTAATCACCAAGGATGTTTCCAGTCTTAATTTTCATATGATTCTTATCCACAAAGATTCTACATTCAGATTTTTTCATTGTGTCAAATTTGATATACTGAATGCTATTTTGCTACATTAGATTCAAAAGCTTAGCAGATTTTCATGTAATTTTCTTAACCAATATCTCCCTAATAAATTCAATAAAAAGTTTTAAAAAGGTTAGCACATTTTGTAAAAATATTTAAAGTCTAGTAGCATAGAATTTTTACCATCTTACATTAGAAACAATGGGAGAAAACCAAAGAAGAAATGTGAGCATGCTTTGCCAGTTGGTCTGACATGAACCACACTGGATCTTACAACACAAACCACTAACATATAAAAAATTTTAAAAACCCAATAAAATCCCCAAACCACTGATACATAAATACATGTATGTATATAAATATATATACAACATTGACATATGCTTATACTGATATACATGTACTAACTTTAAAACTTGATTTCAATTATAAAACCAACACTTAAGAAATTCAGACAGTACATGAGGCCACATGTGAAGTGCAAAGTAAAAAGCCTCTCACCTTCTCCATCCTCCATTAAGTTAACTACTATTAACATTTTTATATATCCTTCAAGAAGTTACAGAGCAATAGAGGAAAAATGGGGACAACTAACTGAACAAAAAATTCGGGGAAAAAAAAAGTTAACAGCATATACGTTATGTGCCTGTGTGTATACATAAATCTTCTAAACCTAAATTTTTGCCACTTCTTGAATGATGAGAGAAAATGTCTCAAGCACCGGCTTCATAAGCATGTTAAGAATACTGAAAGTTATAGCAGAGTTGTATGGCGTAAAGTGGTATCTGCTTCAGAAACGTGCTTTGAACAGAATGTATTTAATTTTTCTGCTAGGAGGCGGCTCAAGGGTAGCAGTTGCACAGAAAATGTGGTTAACAAGGAGGGAGGCAACCTGGGTTCTAATTTAGGTAGTTGAGTAGCTTCAGGCAAGCCATGAAATCTTACTGTGCCTTAGTTACTATTTTTTGTAAACGGTTGGACCAAGATCCCTTCCAACTCTAAAATGTTATAATTCTAAGATGGCCGTCTGTAACTGTTCTCTTGAACTGGTTGTAACAACGTTAAGTAAAAAAAGAGAAATGCTATAGTGAACTCCAGTCTTACCAAAGTAAGTAATTTCTATGCATCGTTAACAATCAAGGTATAGTTGTTACAGAACTAGCGACATGATTATGTTTGAAAGAAAAGTAGGTTATTAAATCGGAGAGGTTTTTACAAAGCTTTGATTGACGGTTTCCTTTTTTTTTTTTTTTTTTGAGGAGGAGGAGGGCCATGGCTTAGTTTCAGTAATAACCAACCATCCCGCCAGAAAAGAAAACAATTACGTGTGTTTCGGACTTAAAATAATGGAACTGAAAGTTAGACTGAATTTTGTTTCACTTACAGAATATGCTGGGAAGATGACTAGGGCAGCAAAGGTTGGAAAGAATTACTACCTAATTTCCTCTTCTGGAAGCTCTCTGGCTCCCATTCTTTCTGTTTCACACGCCCTCCTCGCCCACACTCCACCCCGCTCCACACATGCCACAGGCATCAGATGGGGGTGTCGGAGGGGTCCCTTTGATCACTAAGAAAAGTTCTTTGACTTGATTTACTTTAGAGGTCATGGGGTTCAGGTCGGCACCCACTCGCCCACGCCTTCCAACGACGGTCCCGGAAACCTGGGCCGAGAGCCCCGACCTGCCATCCCCGGCGGGCAAAGGCGGCCTTCCCGCCTTCCCCCCGTAACTCGGGGCCCGCCAGGGGGAGGGGAGGGGAGAAAAGAAAAGGGGAGGAGAACGAGAAGGAAGCCCGTGCGGGCAGTACCCACCGTGCCAGGAGAGCCGGCCCGGATCACCCGCGGCGCCCCGCGCGGTCCGGGGGGGAGGGTCCTGGAGGAGGGGCGGCCCAAGCCCCAATCTCGAAATGCCAACTCTGCTGGGCGGACGACCGGGCCTAAAAGGAAACGGAAGTCCCTTCTTCTCCCTCACTTGCGCCCTCCAGACCGTCCATACCCCGGAGGAATCCCGAGGGACTCGGGGAAGGGGGGGGGGGGCGGCTCAAAGTGGCACCGACACAGTCCGCCCGTCTTACCTCTCCGGTCCCGCCACTCGGGCCCCTGCCGTCTTCTTCCCGCCACCCCCGCCCTGGAGGCCGGCCTCCCGCCCTGTAAACCCCTCCTTCTTCCCCCTCCGCCATTTTCGAACTTACCCCTAGGGCCCGGGCGTCCCTCGCAGAGCGCCCTGTCCACCCAGGGCGCCGCGGTGGTCCTGCCGCTTCCCAGGGCGGGAAAGGGACAGCCGGGACAAATGAAGCCCTCTCCCCCCCCCCCCCCCCCCCCCAAGTTCGAAACCCGAACCTGGCGAGCGGCCGCGCCTGCGCCGTACGCACCGCACAGTCTCCGCCCCCAGCTCAAGTATTTCCTCTTTCAGCTTGGAGGTGTTTTTTGGTTTTTTTTTTTTCCCACGGTTTTTACCTGCTGGTTTTTGAGGCCGCGGAGTAGGGAAATAGAAGTTGAAGGATGAAAAGAGAGCGAACCCGATGAGCTCTTACCGTAGACCAGGCACTGTGGGAGCCATATAACGTGTTCTTTGTTGTAATTTTAACAACCGTGTAAGGTAGGCACTTTCTCATTAAACCCATTTTACAGAGAAAATTGAGGCCCAGAAAGGATAACTACCCCAGTGGCACGCAGGCAATAAACAAGACAACTAAGATTGTAATATGATTTGTGTCCAAGAAGAGAAGGATGAGAAGAAAAGAAAGGAGGACAATTAGTGGGAGCACGAAGGGGATTGAGAAGATGAAGGGACACGTGAAGGCCGTGACTGGTGTAGCTCAGTGGATTGAGTGCGGACCTGTGAACCAAAGAACTGCCAGTTTGATTCCCAGTCAGGGCACATGCCTGGGGTTGCAAGGCCAGGTCCCCAGTTAGGGACATATGAGGAACAACCACACAGTGATGTTTTTCTCCCTCTCTTTCTCCTTATCCTCTAAACAAACAAACAAACAAACAAATAAATAAAATCTTTAAAAAATGAATGAACTGTGGCTGGTGTAGCTTAGTGGATTGAGCGCAGGCCTGTGAACCAAAAGATCGCAGTTCAATTCCCAGTCAGGGCACATACCTGGGTTGCAGGCCAGTTCCCAGCAGATGACGCAGGAGAGGGAACCATACATTGATATTTCCCTCTCTCCTTTCCTTCCCCTCTAAAAGATAAATAAAATCTTTTAAAAATTTTTAAAAAACGAATGAGCACAGAAAGCATAAAGAAGGGAAACAAAGGAAATCTGTATACATAAAATGCTGATTATATCCTAGATTTATTTATATTCACGTATGCTGTAGAATTGTGAGACCAAAAGATGAATTATGTTTCAGAAACTTGGGCTCCCTTAGAGGCTAGCATAGTGAGATGAAAGATTTTGAATGAGAAGTATTTATTTCATGGGGGAGATCTTAAGTATCACCTGCATTTTTAAATGATGCTGCCCATCATGAAAAGGGAAATTGGATTGAATAAAGATTTCTTTTTGGTTCCTAGGCATTTGCTAAGATAGTATCTCCTCTGATCCTCTCCCACTGTCACAGCTCTGAGAATCTCACATCTGACTTACTGTAATAATAGTAAATGCAAGCAAATATTTATCTCATTTAATTCTCACAGCAACCTTATAAAATATGTAACTATCATTATTCCCATTTTCCAGTTGAAGATACTGAGGGTTTGAAAGAAAGTGAAGGGATTAGCCAAAGAACATATGTGCATAACCCATAAACACAGACAACAGTGTGGTGATGGCCAGAGAGAGGGGGTGGGATCTGGGTGGAGGCCACCAAAGGGGGGGAATGGGGACAGCTGTAATAATGTCAACAAAAAACAACAAAGAAAAAAAGATATTGAGGTTTAAAGAGGTTAGGTAACTTGCACAAAGTCACCCTGCTAGTATGTGTGGGAGCAGAAACTGATGCAAACCTAGAGCTGTCTGATTACAGACATATCCAATCATTACTCTGTCTCCTAACATTACCTCTATCCCTAGTCTACTCCCCCGCAATTCAGTCTGCACAAGGCCATTTGAGTTACACTGTTCAATATGGCCTCCAGGATAATGGTAAAACTACTTGACTTCACGTTCACTCTTTCCTTGGTCATCCTACCTATCAACAAACAAAATGGAAGTATTTACTGTGCACCTGCCCATTCCCAACTTTCCTGACTCTTCTATTAATTTGCTCAAACTGTTCCTTATTGGAGGTGAAAAGACTGCCCCTACACAAAGCCTTCTCAGATTTTCTTAGCTGAAGGTCATATGTTCCTCCTCTGAATCCTCTCAGCAGCTGAATTATGGTTAAATGTATATAACATAAAATTTACCATTTTAACTATTTTTAAGTGTAGAGTTCAGTGGCATTATGTACATTAACCACCCACCTCCAAAACTTTTTCATCTTATTTGACACTTGAATTTGTATCTTTGTTATGGAGCACAGTGCTTTCTGCCTACAGTGTAGCTACTGTGTACATGCTTTATCTCACCTATGTTGTAAGATAATTTGTGGCAAGGTCGATATCTAACCCATTTTTTTTTTAATTAAATTTATTTATTTTTTTGAATTGATTATGCTGTTACAGTTGTTCTATTCCCCCCTCCATTTCCCTCCACCCTGCCCCCCCAACCCCACCATTACCCCCCTTTAGTTTATGTCCATGTGTCTCAAGTCCTTTAGGTTCTATATTTCCCAAACTATTCTTGCCCCCCCCCCCATCTATTTTCTATCTACTGTCTATGCTACCTGTTTTCTGTACCTTCTCCCCCCCTCTCCTCCTCCCATTCCCCTGTTGCTAACCCTCCTTGAGATCTTCATTTCTGTTTCCACTCCTGCTCTAGCTGTCCTTTTAGTTTGCTTTCGTTTTAGGTGTGGTTGTTAATAACTGTGGGTTTGTTGTCCTTTCACTGTTCATGTTTCTTTATCTTCTTTATCTTAGATAAGTCCCTTTAACATTTCATATAATAAGGGCTTGGTGATGATGAACTCCTTGAATTTGGTCTTATCTGAGAAGCACCTTATCTGTCCTTCCGTTCTAAATGAAAGTTTTGCTGGGTAGAGCAATCTTGGTTGTAGGTTTTTAGATTTCATGACTTGGAATATTTCTTTCCAGCCCCTTCTTGCCTGTAAGGTCTCTTTTGAGAAATCTGCTGACAGCCTGATGGGGACTCCTTTGTAGGTGACTGTCCCCTTAGCTCTTGCTGCTTCCAGGATTCTTTCCTTCATTTTAATTTTGGCTAATGTAATTATAATATGCCTTGGTGTGTTTCTTCTTGAGTCCAACTTTTTTGGTACTCTCTGGGCTTCTTGGATTTCTTGGAAGTCTATTTCCTTTGCCAGATTGGGGAAATTTTCTTTTATTATTTGTTCAAATAGTTTTTCCACTGGTGGTTGTGTCTTTCCCCCTTCTGGTACCCCAATAATTCGGATATTGGAGCGTTTAAAGATGTCCTGGAGGTTCCTAAGACTCTCCTCATTTCTTTGAATTCTTGCTCCTTGACTCTTTTCTGCTTGTCCATTATTTGCTTTCTTCTGGACCCTTGCATTGATTTGAGTCCCAGTTTCCTTTTCATCTCTATGGGATTCCTGTGGAATTCCATTCATTTCCCTTAATTTAGCCTCCATATGTTTCTCTAATTTGTGGCTGTAATCCACCAAATCTGTGAGAAAGGTGATGACCAGTGTTTTAAACTGTGCATCTGAGAGTTTTGCTATTTCTTCGTCATTTAGATTTATCTCTGGGGCTTTGAGTTCTGCCTGCGACATTTTTGGTCTGTTCTGGCCCTTTAAGTGGGACAAGCGGCGCCTTGGAGTCCCAGGTCGCTGGGTTGTGACGCTGTATGTGGGGGTGTGGTCAGAGCGGGAAATGGCCGCCGCCGCCGCCGCCGCCGCCGCCGCCGCCGCCGCGCCGCCCGCCGCCCTCGCCGCCGCCACGCCCGCCCGCGGCCCGCCCGGGCTGATCCAACCGCTTACTCCCTCACTCGCGCGCAACCAGAGTCAATTCGTTGCCACCGCCTCCCCACTGTGTCGCTCCCCCCGGTGGGCTGCTCGGCGGCTCACCAGGTCCAATCCTGGGTTTGGAACCCGGTAACTGAATTTGCGCGCCGATTCCGCGCCGGTCCGACCGAGCCCTCCTTTGTAAGTCCTCACCGGACACTGGTTTCGCACCTTACCGGTCGGGCTGAAGAATTTGTTGTTAGCGGACTTCCGAAAAGTTCAGTTTTCCGTGTTCTGGTTGTGTTTTGTGATGCTAATATTTAGTTGTCCCTAAACTTGGTTGTGTGAGGAGGCAGGCACATCCAGCTAAACCTCCATCTTGGCGGAAGTCCTAACCCATTTTTGTAATTCCTACAAATACCTGGAATCATCTGTAATTGCACTCTTCTATACTACAACCAATTCATGGGCAAATCCTGCCATCTCAATTTTCAAAATATAGCCAGAATATCACCAACTCTCATCAACACTACTACACCCTTAGTTCACTCTCTCTTGGACTGTAAAAGCTTCTTCACCAGTTTCCCAGATTACCTTCTTGCCCCTTTCCAGTCTATTCATACAGAAGCCAGAGTTATCCTAATAAGTCAGATAGATCATTATCAAATATCAGCTCAAATCCCTTCAATGACTCCCTATTTCACTCAAAGTAAAAGGCACAGATTTACCACAACTTTTATAGACTGTTGTAAGCAGTCTACAAAGGCCATTGTAGCCAACCACCAAGATGATCTCCAGTGATCTTTACCAGTTGCTTTTCATACCTTTGGGTAGTTATCTTCTACAATAGGCCAGAGCTGACCTGTGTAACCAGTACAATATAGTGAAAGTGACGGTGTGTGACTTAAAATTCTAAGTCATAAAAGGCATTGTGGTTTTTGCCTTGCTCTCTGTTTGATTTGTTGCTCCGGGGGAAGCCAAATGTCATGTCATGAGGATACGCAAACAGCATGGAAAAAGGCCCACACAGGGAAAAACTGGGTCCTGCCCTTCTTCATATCTCCTTCTCCCCCTCCCACAATAAACACCAACTTGCCAACCCTGTGAGTGAATCACCTTGGAAGAAAATTCTTCAGGCCCAGACTTCAGACAACTGCAACCTCTTGAGATTCAGAGCCAGAACCACCCAGCCAAGACACTCTTTAATTCCTGTGTATCGTTGCTTAAAATTTTAGGGCAATATGTTACCTAGCATTAGATAACTGATACAAAGATCCTACATAATAGGCATTCTTCTTACCTTTCTATTCTTATCTCTTACTACTTTTTCTCCTTGTTCCTTTAGC